ATGAAAATATATATATTTATTTTTATTCATCTATCCTTGACAAATAAACAGACAATCAGAAGAATATATAAGTAATCATCTTTACATTCAAAGAATAGCATCATACAATTAAGTGTCACAAAAACATGCTTTAATGTTGGTTATATAAAGGCAAATCTTATTTTTGTGCGACCATTAAAACAGGTTTGAATCCAACTTGAACAGGTAAGTATTGTGATGGAGGAGTGAAGGATGGAAGAGAGGAGGGAGATGTGACTGTGACTCCCTGTAAGTCCTATAACAAGCAACTGAAGTATCAGGGAAAGAATGTGATGTAGTCCAGCAGCCGATTCGCAAGTTTACGCATTTAGGGAGACGGAAATGTATTTATCTCTCTCAGAGGTTGACCGGAGAGAGAGGCAGCAGCAATATGACCCGACCAAGAAGACGACGTGACCAAGCCGCATAAAAGAGAGTGGAAAAAGTGATAGAAGACAGAGATGGAGAGGTGAAGATGAAGAGGATAATAGGTGAAGGGAGGGGAAGGAGAGGAGGGGGAGGAGGAGGCACAAGAAAGGAGAGAAAACTAAAGTCATGAAGTGGGAGGGGGGAGTGGAGGGGAGGGGGGGAGGACAACGGAGCTGGGAGGGTGAAGTGAATCGGTCAACTTGTTCCCAGAGCAGCTTCCCAGCAAATCACAGCATGACTTCAGACTCCACTTACGACGATATTAAACACACACACACACACACACACACACACACACAGAGTTGTAAAACCAAATACAAGTGTATATTCTTCGTGTATAGTTGGGTGTGTACATTTGGACATTTGCATACAGACTAAAAATGAAATATCTCACTGGCTCACTACACTCCAACCAGTATTTATGACCATTCAAACTTCTCCTGCAGCTTTCCCACAATACAAACACGACAGCTTGGTGGACACTGGAGATCACATTACAGTTATGTACTTCAGGGGGAAAGCTTGCTCCAGAAATTGTAAATTGTTGTTTAATTATTGAACTGCAAAAGTGGCACCGCCCACACTTTTAGCACACAAACTATGAAAAATTGTTACTTAGTGTGGCAGATTCAGTAAATGTGACAATAAGGCTTCAAACATAGGGTGTGACCTTTAATTAATATGTGTAATTTTTGCACTTCCCTGCAGTATTTTTCTATCTCTTTCCACTGTAACAAGCTATAACCAAGAATACGTTAAATGAGATTAAAGCACTACATGAAAATTTAGCACAATATCTTCACCGTGGACAAGAAATTAAAAAAAAAAACCATAACTCTAGCATGTTGCATTTTTGACATCAAAGATCATGACGGATTGAGAAATGCATGTTGAATGGGCCTTTTTCTTGGAGGACGTTTAGTCTCAGCAGGAAAAGCACTGGTGCAAATAATGAACTTAATGATGGCTGAATTCCATTTAGCTGCTTTGATTTCAGGGTCCTGGTGTTGTGCATGCTGGCTTACTGTCATTCTCACTGGAACACTTTGTTTCAGTGTAATTAGTGACACCTGTGCTTTTCCTACTTGGACAAGTCAAAATGTCAAAACCACTCTCAGTGAGGCTACTTAAGCACAGTGGTGCTTTTAAATTCTAACATTCTCAACATGCTGCTGTTCAGCAGCTAACATTTAGAAGGCTCACCGTCTTAGTTAAGTGTTCAGCATGCAAACATTTGCTGATTCGTACAAAACACAAAGTACAGATGAGGCCGATGGGGATGTCATTAGTTAGCAGGTATTTGATTATAAACCAAAGTATGAGACAAATAAACATTTTGACCAAGTGAAGAGATCTTTAAAGTTATTACAAATAATCCCGAGGGGGACACGAATGTCTGTAAAAAATGTCATGGCAATCCTTGCAAATGTTGTTAAGACATTTCACAAAAAATATATATATTGAACCTCATGGTCGTGTGAGAGGAAAACTCTTCGTCTGTTTTGTTCACTGGTACAAAATGAAACTTTGATATTTTACAATGTTCCAGTTCAACTGTTCAGAGGCTGTTTAATCTACAATATACATGTATTCAACCACTGGTGGACTCAGCAAAACGGCCCTCTCAGATGCCCCTATGGTAGAGAAAACATGATAAAGTGTCCTTTATGGCACCCTTCCAGTGGAGAAAACCTGGTGCAGTGCCATATAGGCTGCCCTACATGCTACTTTCTGTGCACTGGTGCCCCCACCAGATGTGCCAATTATATATTTTTTTGCTCCTTGCCCCTCAGACAGCCTGCGTCCGCCACTCAACAGATTGTGCCATATTCAAATAGGTTGAACATGTTCAAACAGCTGGCACATTAATCAAGAATCAAGATGCAAGTCAGTTTGTTACGGTTATACATTCCCCACTGGATTAATTTCATCATCCTTGTGGATCAGATCTTCATAATGCCAGGCAACCTATCTAAAGCTCTGTAAGCAAACACGGTCCGATAGTTTACATTTCGCGTGTCTGCTAATGTGAGACCACAGAGGCTGGAGATCAGGTGGCCACAGTAAACAGCACGGACAGGAAACGTCGCTGGACTGAGGCCTAGGTGTGATCCATACGGTGGCTCCCAGTGGCTCCAGAGGGAGCTAAAAGGGATTCTGATGTGGCTCCCGTAAACCCAAATGTTTCCAGCTCAGCACAACAGGTGTCGGGATCCGGAACATGCAAACAGTGGCTAACACAGGAATGCCGGGCAGCTCGTTAGTTAGCTATCGTGTCACATGCCAAGTTCCTTTACAGGCAGAGTGGAAAATGTCAACAACAGACAGACAGTGCTGGGAAAGTGCTGCAGATACAGGAAGACAATGTCTAATTCTGAGTATGTAGTGGGGAATTAAGATGGCCACATTCATAGAGATACATACAGATAGAAATGTTATTTTCTCTGCTACTTAATTCTAGCTAAATCTATGTGAGCATTTTCCACCAAGGCTTTCTGCAGCTTTAATACTTAATTCACCTTGAAATATAAAATTTGGTTCACTTTAGTGCAGCGGAGCAAGCAGACGTGTACAGTAATGTAGGTTTATTAGAGATTTTTCAACAGCAGCTGCCTTCTTGATGAGACCCGAGAGACTGAACCACAACGCTGGAGGCCGCAAAGCTGAAACAATAAGCTTGAAGATGTTAAAACGCTCCACTGCAGAGTCAATAATCACATAACGAGTGACACAGTTCATACTCGACATAGTATTTGATTTTGAGTTCATTGTGATAAATATATTAAAAAGATTATATACAAATATTGATTAGGTCAGCTTTAAAAATATTTGATACAAATTAAACAGCACAGTACAAAGTATTAAATCCCTGTGAAACAATGAATGCTACCGGTGTACAGTTGACAATTTAACAATCGTATTGCACACATTTTAAGGAGGCGTAGTTCTTTTCTTCCCATTTTGACTATAATCACTTAAATTGAATCCCAACATCGGAACAACCTGTAATCAGTGAGCAGGTGCATGATTTGCTGCAAGACATTTGGTGAAACACAAACACATACTAAGCCCCGATGTCCTGAAGAGAAGACGCTGTTCCAAAACGAAATGTTCAGCCCAGACCTGTTCCACGTTCAGCGCCGTGCTGTTCTCCTCTGGTACAAAATGTCCCGATCTTTGCCTCTCGGGGCTCCTCACCGAGGAGCCAGTGAACGTTGGGCACAGCATGGCACATTTCTCCCCTGCACTGTACCGGAGCTATGACACAACCTGCTGCACTCACTGTGGGGCTTCCACATTAACTCACCCCCTAACGATAATAATACACTTTACTGTATATACACAGAATAGGGGTTTTAGGAAGTGGGCAAACACATACAACACAGGGTCTTGCAGGGAGAAATGGTGTCTGCTGACCCTATTACACAGTACGAGTCCTCAAACCCCCCGTTATATACACAGAAATACATCCTGCAGACTACTTTTCTGTCTTGTGTTAGCAAAGCCGTTTGCTCAGTGAGGCTCGTTATTGTTATTGTCAGGCAGTCTGGGGAAAGATTACGGCCGGCATGTAAGACTGAGACACATCAGCAGACCAAAGTCAGGCAAGAGTCGGAGGGGGAAGCCGAAAAAGAAGTTGCCGGGGTTACAGTGACTGCTGCACTGTTTGAAAATTGAGGCTGCAGTTTACAGAGGCTGTTTAGTTTGAACAGTTCACGGTGGCCTTAACTTTCAGAGAAACTACTGATTGAGCCGTCACTTTACTATACTATCACCCGATCCTGGACCCAGTGTTCTTTGCAACTGCAATTATTGGCCTTTTTAAAGTATTTGGGGCAAATATACGTCCCCCCCACCTACTCATTTCACATCCGTCATTCTGTCACCCTCCATTGCCTCTGCATCCGCTGAAGCCTTGCTGAGCTTATCCCAGTAGAGTGATAGCTCTCCATACTACACATTAGTTTTTAAAATAAAATGTCTGTGAGGGCGACACTCTGCCGCCTCGATCTTCACTTTTTAGCAAGACTTGGCCAATCAACAACAAAAAAGAAACCTAGGTTTCCTTGTCTGTATGCGAGTCTATTGCCCCTCAGTGTTTATAAATTGGGCACCATTTCCAAAAAGTACAGAAGATAAGTAGAACAGAGCTCCTTACTGTTCATCCAACATGGAGGTAAAAACCCCACCCAGTCCTAAAAGTGAGAGGCAGCACTTTAACTTTTAATTTAGTGCTGAGAGAGCCAACATGAAAAAATAGAACTGATCTTTATTAAACAACCTTATCGCATCTTTTGGGTATAGTTACAACAATGGTTGCATAATCTCTCTCGTCTCAGAGATCCTGGCGAGAACCTTCCACTGTCTCCTGTATTTTGCCAACATGGTAACAGATTTCAGAATAGTTTAATGACAAACTTTCCACACAACATGGTATTTTGTGTGAACTTGCCTGTCCCATATACAATTTTAGTGCTGCTACAAAATTAAGGGTTTCAATTCCATTTCATGTATCAAATAAGGTATTTTATGGAAAATAGGACACAATGGAAGTGGATTCAGAGATGCATTTGTTTATTTCAAAACAACAACAATCAAGAACCCCTATTGCATCTCTTTAGTGTTACAAAATAAACAGAATGCAACATGAGCCATGTACTTTCCTCAATTCATGCATTTTTAGATTCATGTAATAGGATGCAAAGTTCTGGTAATCTGCCAAAATGTCAGTAAGTATTGACGTCCTATCTGATGCACTGATGTCCTGTTTGAACAGAACGCAGGGATGAAGATGCAGAAACCAAAAAAGCCATAACCTTAAAAAAACAGGAATCTCAAAATCATGAATTTTCAAATACACACTTTACATTTTAACTGTGGCTGATACTTTGCCAAGAACATTGTTTAGCGGTTCAATTTCTTTAGTTTATCAAGTTTATTTCAGGCCGTTAAAGCTCCTTTCTATGGCTGTGGGATGTACCACTGGATGCCATACACAGCTAGCATGTCCCGATAGCATCTGAGGCCATTTCAACCCGTTTGTCGTTTGATGTCTCCAGCTTGTTTGGATGTACGACATTCTTTATTTAGTTTTTTAAAAACTAAAATGGCTATGCAACTACATTGACCTGTTTTGTTAACGGAAAAGTTAAACTGTGCATATATCACCACAAAAACACTTGTGTAAGCACACTTTAGATGAACTTAAAAAAAAAGCTGAATTACCTCTTTGAGAGACTGATCAGACAAATCTTTCACAGGATGATTAACTAATCACAGTCCTGATGGAGCTGCAATTGGCCTGTAAGTGGCCACTTTACTTGTTCCATCCCATTTCTATAGCAAATGTGTTTTCTCCAAAAAAGCTCCCCAAGATAAACAAGGTGCGTCGACCGCGACGTTCCAAGCAGTCAATGAGACATAGAGACACGTTTCATGACATCTCTTTGAGTCAAAATTAAAGTTTTTCATGAGACTGTAACAAAATAACGGAAAGGTACCCAAGCAACTGTCTGTGCTGAATAAAGAGATAAAGTCAGAGTAATATGCAGAGCTGACATTTTAACCCAGCCTTCAAACTTTCATTATCAACAATTCTTCTGTTACGCTTCTCTGAAAACCCTGATATCTGATCGTCACCACTGGTCACGACTGCAGTTATTATGGTTCACAGGTGAACGTCTCCCTGTTTCAGTTGGAAGAAGCTGTTATTCATACTGTGGGTTGTAACCGAGTGTTTACCAGACTTGCTTCAAACTGCAGAGAAGGACGAAGGCGTTCGAAATCTTTTCAGCGACCATCAGATCTAACGTTGTGTGGATCGGTGCTTTAAATGCAGAGCCACTAGACACAGTAGGTAAGTACCTGTCTCTGGGGGGAGTTTTATGGTTGCTGGGATGTGAATCGCAGCTTGGTACCCGGCCTGTGGCCCTCCGGCTCTTGGTACATAGTTCTGAAGGTCAGGTTGATGCGTGGGCCTCGGTCATGGTACTCTTTAGACACTTGATGCTGGTGGAGACGGAGAGACGGATAAAAGATGCATTTTACTTGTTTACTTTACTAGTATATAAAGTAAGGAGTTAGTGGCTTTGAACACTGGTTCTCAAACTAATTTTTTCAATGATGTATCCCCTTTGAAATGTTTGTCTGTCCAGCACAACATATAATCCAGCGCGGCGTCATCGGCGTCTGATTTACAACACAACAATCTTGTAACTGAAAAACACTTAAATGCTACATTTGAAATGTTACTGATGGTGTTTTGTTGGATCTGTTTTTTGCTTTGTTTTCAGCTGTTACCTGTTTCCTGTGACCACAAATCCATGTTTAGATTTTTGTCTGTCATTCAGAGTGAAAACTGGCTACCATTCAATGCAATTAACAACAGTCCAGCGGCGTAACAACTGCAATCACGGTCACGTGTGACGGGGAAGCCAGTTTTTTTTTTCTTTTTTTTTTTCATAGGATGGCAAAGGCATGAACCGTCCTACTCTGATTGTCTCACTCTAACCTAAAACAATCTCACGCCTCATGACTAAACCTAACCGACCGAACCAACATAGACAACAAGCACCAGCCAATCAGAGGCAGAGTAGGGCGGGTCATGACTTCGCCAACTTATGAAAAATAAATTGGCTTCCCCATCACACGGAAAACACACACAAATGTGACCGTGCTTGCGTTTATCACAACAGTTGGCTGTTAACAATTCCATTGAAATATCTGTATGTATGTATGTATGTTTTAAAAAGAAAATCTCAAGTACCCCCTCCAGTGCTCCAAAGTGCCCTTTTTGAGAAACACTGGCTTAGAGACTCTTTGGCTATTAATAGACACACTGGCTGCTTTGGGGAATCTCAGATAATTAGTTTACAAGTGAAGCAATATCTTAGTTTTTTTAATCATGGTTCTATGGTCAAATGAACAGTATGTTGTTATCAGCTAAAAAACAGACTCACACTAATGCAAAAATATGAGAACACAAGGAACGATTTACATTTTAAGGAGTTCCCTAAAGACGAGCGTATTGTTGTTTTTGTAGCTGACCTCTGCACTCCGAACACAGGGCAACTCAACAAACACCATTTTCATGCGGGGCAAAAGGCAAACTTATTCCCTTTTCCAAAAAACAGCGCTGAAACATTTTCTGTAATAGCACAGACAAAAAGTTCAACTTTATATATTTCTGGACCTTTTGCACAGGAGAATAATTTCCACTTGTGCATCTCGTGCCCTTAAACACACACACACACCCTTGAAATTCTATCTTTGTGAGGCCACTAACTGACATAATGCCTTCCCTAGCCCCTCACCCTAAACTAATTCTAACCTGAACTTTAAAACTAAGTCTGAACCCTCAACCAGGTCTTTGATGGTCTGTCCCAAAAGTGAGGACCCTCACCTTTAAACTGGTTCTCACAATGACAGACAGACAGACACACACACAGACACACACACACACACACACAGACACACACACACACACACACAAAAAGGGAGTTGAAAGCTTTGCTTATCCACAACAGCCTCCAAAGAAAGAGTCCGGAACAGGCAGAAATAACCCTGTATCATAACCCTGTATCCTTTTTCAAACAAATGAAGTACTTCAGCCGGATTGTCAGGTTTAGGTAAATATTTAACACTCACTTCCAAACCTCTCCAGCAGAGCCAGGAGGTTTTATTAGGCAGACCAGGACTGAGGAGACAGTGGAATAATTAATGGATGGTGTGATCTTCTTTCTCTGGCAAGATCTTTAAAGGAGAGCTGAAACCTTTGTTGAGATACTCAGGGAGGTGTCGCCATAAAACACCTGTGACCTTCTGCCTTTTTTCTTTCTTTCCTTTAAGCTCTCTCTCTCTCTCTCTCTCTCTCTCTCTCTCTCTCTCTCTCTCTCTCTCTCTCTCTCTCTCTCTCTCTCTCTCTCTCTCTCTCTCCCTCTCTCTCTCTCTCTCTCTCTCTCTCTCTCTCTCTCTCTCTCTCTCTCTCTCTCTCTCTCTCTCTCTCTCTCTCTCTCGTCCCCTCTGTTTTTCTCTCACTTCAGCGTGACCAGCTGAAAGAAAATCTTTCTCACAGTATAGCTCTCAAAAATGAAATAACATTTGAAATGACTTCCAATTTGACTTCCCATGTGGAACTGACACATAAAGGTTTCTATTCCGCTGCCGTTTAACATAGAGTGCTCGCAGTGTTTCTGTCCTCTCCTGCACACCCGTTTTGTTCTCCATTCTTGATTATACTTTTTGTTCATATACAAACAAAGCTTTAAAACTAAATATTATGACCAGAAGTTGAGCTTTCTTTATCTACTCTACAACTAAATTCGAACTATTATATTCGAACATACTGTCACAGTCCCAGAGAGCAGCTTCACACTCACACTCTCTGTTACTCACACAAACCCGGCCGCTGTCCCCGATTGTAAAACAAATGACTCATTATTCTGGAGCTCTGCGATTATCTGAGGGCCACTCCATCCATCTTTGCTTTCTGCCTTGAACACAGGTCTATCCCATCACGTGCGTTGAGTCGGAGGCATTCAAACACACACACACACACATACATACACACAAATGCACGACACAAACACGGTCAGTGCCGGTGAGGTCAGTCTTCACTCGACCTCACCTGGCTGAGGCAGATAAGGTTTTCCGTGCTTGACTATTTACTGTAAATGTTCAAGGCTTAATGAGGCAGTGGATTCATTCAAGTCACTGTTTGAGTAATAGCTTAGAGTCAAGTCATTCAACTATTTCTGCACTGATTATAAAAGGCAGGTACCGGAGAGGACAGGATGTTAAATAACGTACCAGTTATTTAGCAGTTGTTGTTGTTTATATTTACTGGAGAGTCATAATGTTAGATACAATGGCTGTTACAGTGCAGTTCTAGTAATATTACAAAACTTTTACATTTCTGTTTTACTATTATTAATATTATCATGAAAAAAGTCTGAAAAAAGCTTTTAAATTGTTTTCTAAGCATGTGGTGGAAGGTGAGTTTATTTTCTTGAGGAAAACGTGATGAACAGGACGACATGTGAGCTTTGTTTGCTATAAACAGAAGAAGCCAGAAGAAGAGAGCTCAAGTCATAACTGCAACATAAAGCACGAGGAACAAGACATTCAGTAATGCTCGAGTTGTTTGATTGATGGGTAAACCAAAAAGTAAAAATGCAACAAAAACACTTTTAAACACTTTTAAAGCGGTCTTTAAATGTCTGCCTGCTTCTGATTCGCCGCTGTGGCCGGTGTTTTTCTGAGTGGCCATTTCGCCTGAATGGGCTCTTGCATTTGATTGGTGGAGCTCACCTGCCAATCGTCTTGTGTGGCTCCGTCCATCACCAACAGCGTCCCGTGACTGAGAGGAACCCGAATCTGCTCCACATAAGTGAAGTCACCATTCTCGTCCTAAAAGAGTAAAGCGCACGCGCACACACACACACACACACACACACACACACACACACACACACACACACACACACACACACACACACACAGGGGAGAACAAAAAATCCACAAACTCATTTGAAGGCCCATTCCGCTGCCTGCGAATCACTACACCAGCTTCCATGCTCTACCATCATCTCACCGGTGGAGGCTGCTTGCGGAGGCCGAACACTCTGGTGTCGCCCAGACTGATGGAGGCGATGGTGGGCTTGTTGCCCAAGGTGGCCTCATCGTCGCTGTGCCAGCCGATGCTGTCGTGGCCGTCCCGATACAGGTTACACAGCAGTGAGTTGAAGCTGCATCCGCTCGCCTGCTCCACTGCCTCGCGCAGGGTTGACAGCAATGGATGCCACTACGAGGGGGAAAGAGAGTTCAGCAGTTAATTAAGAAAATAATATTGAAACTAAATGTAAATAGAAAAGAGACACGATTAAAAGATATGAAACAACACGACAAGTGAGGAGAAACAAAATATTATACGAAAAAGATACAATAAAAAGTACATGTGTGGAAAACGTTGGTCGTGGAGGTTTAATGAGTTTATCTAACCTGTGCGTTGGCAGCCATGGTGGAGCGAGCGTATGTGTAGGGCAGCTCTCCAAACCAGCAAGTCAGCCTGGGCTCCTCGTACGCCTCACCTGGACCAACACACACAAACAAATACACCTTTACCTCAGAAGAACCCGATGAGACCACGGTCAGGATATCTGGACAGTTCTGGATATCATACAGTTCTTAAACTATAATCCCATAAACCCCTCGTTTACAGTCGGAGTATTGTAAGATTTTCAATATTGGTAGAGAAAATAATATCACAGTTTTAGTGCCGATACTAAAACAATACTGTTTATAGTACTGTAGTCTGGGGTTTTAAACTTTTTTTAAATTGAATAATAAAAATGCCAAACCATGAAACCGTATTGGAATCCACAATAAATATACCAAACTACTACAACTGCGATATAAAATATAAACATAGGATAACATGCTATATACATTAGACAGCATGAAAATTTGCTTTACAATTTTTTAAATTATTATTATTATTTTAAATGCAATGAGGTAGAGCGACAATTCCAACTTCAAAAGAGAATGAAACCAGTCTGTTTTCATGCCTCTTTTTCTGGATGACAACTATAAGTAGGGCAGAAAACTCTTGCTCTTCACATAATCCTTTCTCGCGTTAACACACACAAACAGGTATAAGTATAATGATCATCTGCACCCAAATCTATTTCTAGCACAGGGGAAAATATCCAATTTCTCTCTGTTTGTCTGCCTTTGGTGGTAATGGTGTATCTTTCTTTCTCTGGGAACAAGAAGATCTCTTCCAAGAACCAATCGTGTGCCATTAAAACATTTTGCCCTCTGGGACGAGAACCAAAACAAACTGCTCAAGCAGCCATCGCATTTTAGAACGCTGAATTACTCCAGGCCTCTGGAGCTAATACTTATAAACATGTGTGGTCAACTTTCAAAGGCCTTACTCTTTCCATGAAGAGATGTTATCAGGGGAAAAAGATTAACACAACCGTAACTCATGCACAGGATCCAATTTAGAGCGGTGAGCAACGGTCGGAAAAACTGAGTCAAGAGGGTTTTTAAAACGAGAGAGGATAAATGAGAGAAGAGGGGTGAACATCCTTGTTCCACTACTTCCTCTTTAACCCAAACATCACGTGGACTTTGTTGACCAAGTCTCAGGAGTGATGGATTGAAATTACACAACTGTATGATCTGTGTTTGGAAATCATCTTGGTTTGTCTGCTGTGGAGCTATCGCAGAGTAACACACAAGTTGGATGAGAGCCAGCTGAGAGAAAAGGCCGATTCTGAGGCAAAGCCTGTATATAGTCTGTCTGCACACAATGAGAGTTATTCTTTCCTTTAAGAGGAAAATGACGACTGTTTTGCAAAATTAAGCCATTGCACAACTTCTGCACGTGCAAGGAGAGAGAGGCGGCAGTTTCTGCTGTCGTCTTCCATCTTCTCCAGATATAAGGTGGACTTGTAAAGACGGAATGAATGAATGAAAACAGTCGAGAGGTTTATTTTGAAGCCTGGAGAGGGGGTGTGAATATTCACTCTGTAGATATAATTCACTACTTTTTTTTAATTTTTATTATTTATTATTTATTCACTACTGTGCTAACTTTTTTACTCTTTTTATTGGTGTTTTTTCCCCAATGTAAAAAGTATAAAAAAGTTAGTAAAAGTAAAGTATAAAGTTGCTTCAACTTGATTTTTAAAACATACAAAACAACACATATAAATATTAAGTATATGGAAAGAACAGAATGTACAAACAAGACGTCTATATACATAATATATATAAAAATTATAAAAGTAAAAGCAGCCAGCTTCACTGAGGTGCGCTCTGGAAATGAAATGTTTCTTCATGGTCAAAGAGGAGCTGCCATGTATAAAAGAGATCCACATAGTGCATATACTGTGTTGAAAGTTGAATTTAAAAAAAATCAGGCATGTGTACCAAACGTCCTATCACTATAAAAACACAGAAGCACTCTGAACAAAGTCTAATAATGTGCTTTTGTTAAAATAAATTTATCCTTTTATAGACTTTCCTTTTTTTTATATACTGTATGTACCATAAAAATGTCTTAAACATGATGAAGATAAACAGTTCAATGCTGCACTGTAATGAAACTAGAACCCTGTTCACCCTCCAGCTGACATGATGGGCTCAAATTTGCCCCCGTGTCATACTGCTTCTCCTTCAGCCCCGGGTACCCACCCTGTCTGTAGTTGGTCTTCTGGGACCAGGGAAGCTCCGCCAACAGCTTACTGAACATCCAGTCAGCCTCTTCTGGGGGAAGAAACCCAGGCAGCAGCCGCAGTCTGCACCGATGGAAAGACAAAACACTCTGCATACATTTCTCCAAAAATGATTGAGAAAAGCATAGTGAACCAGAACATACGCTGTGGCTCGTCTTATCTAGAGAAGACTTTGGTGCAAAGTAGTCTAAAAATCGAATTTCCATTATTGTTAAGACGAAAAACCAGCTAAAGAGTAATGTGCCTATTCTCGTGATGTTAGGTGTTAAGTAGACACCGCAGGAATATCGGTCTTTCCCCCTTTCACACTTCACAATCACAGAATATTGAGTGTCAGCTTCCTTTTGATCGAGGTTAGTTTCCTTACTCTTGATTGTCTGTAATTTTAGAGACTCTCTGTATTTTAGTCTTGATAAAAGCGTCAGCATTCTGCGGAACATTCTGCTTGTCCATTGTGCTGTATGTACAGCACATGACCCTACATATTCAGTGTCAGTTAAAGAACATGGCTCACTTCCACATGTCCTAGTGGGTACCATAAGTGAGACAGAAGGCATGACAGTCACTGAGTGCTATAAACGCTGTTGCTTGAGGGATGACTGCCATCTACTGGACATACAATGCGTTCACAGATTTGTTATCATGATTAAACACACTGGGTTGTTCGCTGTTTGTTCTCCTCTTTTTTTTTAAATATAAAAAGTTAAATTTCCCTCACCTGGACACTCCTGATGGTCCATGGCTGATCTCGTGAATACCTGCCTGCCTGTCCAGAACAAAATAATGCATATTAGCCAACATGTGCGCAGTATACAAAGGACTAACAAGCCAACATGTCATAAGACAAGAGACAGAAACATATTTGAAAGAGATTAAGTTGATGTTTAGGTCTGACCAGTCAGGATAGAAATGTGTAACTTACTCCATCACCTTCACTGGTGGAACATCTCTAACTTGCTGCGATGAAGAAAAGACAGAAAAGAGGAAGAGGAAGCACTTCCTTATAAAACATTCTAAAAAGGTTGCAAAAGCTCAGATTATCCAAACATTCAACGGGGACATTTATGTTCACCGTCTACCTTGGTGGGCTGATGAAACTCAAATGTCCTGGGTGTTTTCTGTGGCCCACATCCCCAGGAACTTGGGTCTGGGTCGACATGTTTGGGTTGTTGGTTGTTTGAGACTGCACCTGTTAAAAAAAAAAAATACACAAAGAAGCTGTTGTCTACACATCACACAGGTTAATATGACTAATAATCCAGCATACAGGGCTATGAATAAGTTCATATAATAATGATCGTATTCAGTGAGGAGCAGGCAGAGGGAGTCACATACTACCAATACACAAATATCAACGTTCACCCTGAAACTACCTGTTGGTCCAGAGTGTTTGGGCAGTTGTTTGGCCCAGGAGCCCTGGACTCTGGCACGCTGACGCTTATCTGACATTACATTACATCTGCGGAGTGACAAGAGAAGAAGAAGAAGTAGCTTTCATCAACACGGAAACAAATTCTGCACAAACCAAAAGAAATACAGACGTCTGATTGCTAAATGTGTCCTAATAAACACTGAATATATACAAAGCCCAGAGCTTCCTCTGTCACAATAATAGATGACAACCAACAAAAAATAACTTCTCAACTTTAATTGTAATGTTTAAATAGAGGACAGATAGCACCTGTGTGCCAGCAGTAGAGTTAGTGACATGGACTGCAGTGACGACCACAACTGAGCGAGCCGTACAAATAACTTTACACGCCTTTACCAGCATGTCTGCGTGTGTATTACTGTGTCGTTAGTATTTGGTGGTGATGCTTTAGTTTGGTTGTCCTTTGTGATGCTTAGTCCGTTATGATATATGCTTTTATAAGGGTTATCATATGCTGGATTCATATCGTGAGCTTTGATGTTTGATGACACCAAACAAGTCAGTAAACCCTGACTCTGACATGCAGTGATGGGTCTAACTTAATGAGTTAATTCATAATAATAATAATTGCTTAGCTTACGTTGGATTTCAGGCCCTTCAACAAATTCTGTGATAATTTCTGAAGCTACCAGTCGAGCTAACTGATGATTAGCTACTCTGACTGATAACAAAGTACAGATAGCTCGCGATGCTAAGCTAGCTAAATCTACTTATAGATACATAAACACTTTTTAAAAGTCAAAATAAAAATAAATATATCCCATTGACTAATGTTGAACCAAATCTTTAAACTACTTACCAAAAACGGTTGCTAAAACGCAACACGAGAGCTAAAAGAGAAAAAAGACTAACGTCGCTCTACATAAGTGAAGACATCTGACAGCCGTGGTAAGGGTGTTACAAGAAAACAAATCCTACCCGGAACTGAGATCCGTGAATAGGTTCCTTCCTGTTCTTATTTACATTGAATCATTACTTTTTATTTGAACAAACAGGATATAATACAGATTTAGTATACAAGTGATAGCATACAAATTGAACAATAATGTATCGATAGTAAAATATTTTGAACCATGCAGGTATGTCGTGTCTTGACAAACTTTTGCTTATTTCACATATCTCAGTTACAATAAGACAATATATCTTCTCCCAATATATATAATTTACAAACCGATCCCCACATTTACAATCCATTCTTTGTCTCTCTCTCTCTGCCTCTAATCTTTGGCTAATGTGATCCAGCTGTGCAAATATATACATAATGCATACTTTTATCTAGAATATAAGTATATTATTTAAGTACACATTTAATGCAGTTCTTTTACCTACACTAGTATTTTTACACAGTTACTACTTTTATTAAAGAGAACAAGTACTTCTTCCGGACTACTTCTGTCCAGATTTCAATGGTTTATTGTGCTGCTTAGCCAGTATGATATACAGTACCATCCCAAAAAAACTCAAAAGCTGTCATTATGTCAGCTATTGGGGGAGAAAAAAGGAACACAATTACACAACACTGTGCTGTATGCCAGAACTTTTATTAACAAACAGTAGAAAACACAAGTTTCCAGTTATATAAACGTAAACAGTGTATTTTACATGTAGAAATTCTAATTTAATTATTTTAATTTCCAAAACACATTTAAAAAAAAAAAAACACCTATACAAAAGGAGAAGCATTCACAAGACCACTTAGTTAAAGGCAAAGGCCAGACCAAGTCGTACTCAATGCCCCAACTGTGTGAGGAGGAGCAGTTCCATTTCTGAAGCAGTCTGTAGGTATGAAGCATTTTAGTTTAAACTCCAACTGTAGGGAATATTCTCTATCCCTGTGAAATCCCTTCAAAACACACTGGAGGAACTGTACAGCAGTTTAGAGGTTTTCCTTTGTTTGTTAAGGTTCACATTGTAATTAAAAAAGGCACAAAATGGAGCAACTGTGTAGTTCACATGGACATCGCACCAGCTGAATTACAGCCTTTCTGAACCAGACAGCAAATGCTTGATTGTCTGACCATTTCCTGCATTCATTCTCATTAGAAAGGCACTTGTGATGAATACCACACTTAGTTAACGAGAACTCTTCGGTTTAGGACAGGTTAAAACATTGGTGCAATAACAACCCACCACAAAGCATCATTTTAAGTATTCTGTTAACACGCAAGATCATACAAAAAAAACAAAAACAAAAGGAAGAAAGAACCAATGCATGACAATGGCAGTTCAGTAACGAAAGTAAACAGACATGATGGAAAGCAGAAATTGCCATCGTTAAATGGCTCGTGGATTTGTAAACAGGACTAGGTTGAAAGCTAGTCTTAAAAAGGTCCGAGTTTAGCTTGTGTGTTCATACAAAATATAAAATAAATTATACAAATATATAAAAAGATGCCCACCACCATTTTCCGCTGCTTACAACAGCAGGGTTAACAAATCACTATTTTTTTTGTTGTATTATCTCCACCAAAATGTATTAATGTTCTTTGTCACGAGCAGCATATTCATTGTTTTTCAGCCCCATTCCTTCTTTGGCTATTTCTCTCCAGACAAATCATAACAGGGCAGAGTTTGCCATTTTAAACAGTCATACACATGCTTTGACGTGCGCACTTACTGAAGACACACACGCGAGATCTCAGGTAACCCAGGAGGATCAGCCACACAGATACAAAACACAATCTCAGCTTTCCTTAAAACGCTGCGCCGGGTCAGAACAGAGAGGCTGCCTGAAGATTCGTCAGCCATCTTCCTAATCGTTTTTCAAACTGCCTCCGTTCCTCTGCTCCCGCAGCATCTTCCTCCGCAGGTATCCGGTACGCTGCAGACGGTTCATTCTGGCTCCAAAGAAGATGACGAGGTCAATCGGCACCAGCTTGGTGGTCAGCCAACCCTGCGAGGAAAGAAACAATAAATAAGGTGCATACGTTTGCAATCAAATTCTTATATAGCTTTCAGGCTTTTATCTTAACATTAAAAAAAAATAAAAAATATTAAACCCCTTTTCCAAGACCTCTTGAAAAAAAAGTTACATTTTAAGTCAATTATACTAATTCTATAGCACCTAAAACATTGTTTAAGGAAAAACAAGTGCAAATTATATGACATGCAATGCATAAAATGTTCCCATTTCCATTATTTTACAGCATTATTAATAGTTTCCACATACAAGGCAAAATACAGCCTGGATGTACACTGATGTGTGCCGCAACTAAATATACATTTAATTGAAAAGGTGGATTGGAATACTGAGCTAGATAGTTTAGTCTCAAGTCTGACATCCCAAAACTAAGAGCAACATTGGAGTTATAGGTATTTTGAGGTTTCCACTTCTTACCATGACGGCGTGTGGGAAATAGCCATTGGTCTGGCCCTGCAGGCCCACAGTGGAGAGCTCAGCTGCCACATAGCGCTCTGGTGTGGGCTTGTCCAGGGTGGGCTTCTTGATACGAGTCATTTTAGTGGCCACGAAGAAGGGCAGCACACTCTGCAGGAAGTCAAAGGGAAACCGTGAGACAAACAAATCAAGTGTGTAATTTAGTAATTTCATCTGGAGGATCTGGGACTGTGGCGTGAAGGAGATTTTCCATGTAAAATTATTCAATTTGTGATTTGAATGCATACTAATAAACACTTTTAAATCAAACTCATTAAAAAAAAAAAACCTTCCGGGCCCAAGTACAAATCAAACTACTTTTAATTTTCCTTGGTCTTCCCTCAAGTTGTATCAATGGCACTGTCAGATATACTTAAACCACATTTAAAAAACATCCATAACATCTTTGTTGTAAGCTTTGCTGGGGTTATCAGGTGAACACACACACTCAGAGTTTGCTGAGGTGAAACTGCTGTACACACTTCCACCACAAGGTGGCACAAGAGTGAATACTACAGAAGGTGCTAAAAACAGAACAAACAAGCCTCCTGTGGACAACATATTTTCAAAAATGCTCCCGCTGTAACAATGCATCATTCATGAATGTGTATTCATGGCATTGTGCTTCAGGCAGGACTGGATGAGAGCAACAAGTTGGATTTCGTAACTTCTTTTGAGCTAAATCTGTGAGTGAATTCAATTAGGGATCATCAAATGGATAAATCGTATATCATATCAGAGCCTATGGCAAAAGGTTATATAAAACAGTGCTATTGTTTGTGCTACGACCTCTCAACGTTAATGGGAAACAATGTTGTTCAAGCAGTTCCCTCTTCCTGACATACGTCCTCACAGTTGAGAACACATCCTTGTCCCAAAAAAACATATAAAAAATCCCATTAGACAAACCCCAAACTCACCTGAATGATGATACCCTGACGCCTGTACTCCTCCTGAAGGCCACGAGAGAAGAAATCCACAAAGGCCTGCGCATAGAAGGACAAAAGATGGTAAATTTGATCACGCCAAATAGTGCAATTTAAAAAAAGGGAAGAATTGTGAGTTATTACGACTGATGGACAAGTACAGATGTAGCACATACCTTTGTGGAAGAATAGACTGTAAGCAGAGGGAGGGGGTACATGCCACTGGCGGAGGAGATGTTCAGGACAACACCTTTGGACCTGAGAAACACACAACAAGGTAGATTTAATGACTATGTCTTGAATGACTGAATAAAAATCAAAGACTAAAGTTAATTTGTAATTTTGTCAAATCACGAAAGCCTGCTCAAAAAACGCTGCCGCCATAACAATCTACACCACAGGGCTTCCCTCACGATGTGAAGCACTGATCCCAGAATAGTGCAGTAAATGCATTTTCTGTCCTCATTTTATTTTTTCCTCAAATCCACAAACTTTAAAAAAAAAAAAAAAAAAAAAAAAAAAAAAAAGGCTTTCCATGCCAGTGGGAACCCTGTGTCTATACACATTCAGCACACTCACAAATACACACAAAGTGATGTTCCACACACACACTAGAACTGCTGTGTGTGTTGCCATGGCAGCCTGTTGCTGCAGTGATGTAGTGGAGCGACGCTCCAGCCTCACACGGCACCAAATGTGCCTACGCTGCTATTGGCCAGCAGGAGTCACATGGGAACACAGCAGCCAATCGGGTGGGAAGAGCACTTTGTGTGAATTGAAAGCCTGTCAGCATTACGAACAAAGGAGGAGAGGAAAAGAGAGAGAGATGCAGTGACGGAAAGGGCCATCTTTATAAAGTGTAATCCCCCAAATATCAGCTCTTGGAAAACAAGGTTGTTTAATTTTCAGATTCCTTGTGCAGCATCTGTGCCACAACCCCCCACACACACAATCACAACACTGATGTTTGAATGCAGTCATGTCGCAAAACATGGAAGCCCATCATTTAACTCACCTCTCAGTCATTCCGGGCAGCACCAGACGGGTCATCTATGAAGAACAACAACACAAGCCCAGTTAACATCAGCAGTCACAGAAACAATGATACAACTCATCAAGGACACTTAAATAAAACTCTTTCCCAGTCCCTTAAGAACAAAATAACACTAAAAGTAAGGAGAGAGAGAGACAGAGAGACAGAGAGAGAGAGACAGACAGAGAGAGAGAGACAGAGAGAGAGAGACAGACAGACAGACAGACAGAGAGACAGAGAGACAGACAGTTGCGTGGGTGGCGAGTACAGACAGCGTTGGTGTAGTCCACCGTTGCTTTGGGAACAACTGAGACACTGCAGGTACCATGGAAGAAACAGCAGAAGAGGAGGAGGGAAAAGAGGAGAACAAAAAAAAAAAAAAGGGGGGGGGGGGGAGTTGTATGCATGGACCAAAAACTTTGTACAAACACAAGGGGTCAGATCTAAATATGTGGGGTGTAGGTCTTTGGGAAGATTTCCTCCCCTGCTAAAGTGTGCAGAGTTGTTGGAGACAAACTCACCTGGCACACCGAGGTGACATTGACGTTGATCATGTTTGTGATGAACTGAAACACAGAAAGCACCAGACAGATAAACAACCACATATAACATTATGTACTATACAGCAGAGAGCTGATCACAAAATATATATTTAAAATAAGGCTACCAGATGATTGGTAAACTTGAGGCAATAATGAATAACCATGTGGGGCACGAGACAAAAACAATACATTTGAATTCATTTTGTTGTTCGCAGGCTTAGAGGAGTCAGCTCAGTTGTGTTTAGACTGCACTCTTGGCTATCAGCATCAGAGAATTTCCATTCAAAAACAAAGATGAAATAAGACACTCACGTTGTCAAGATCGGGAATCTGGAGGTAGTACTCAGGGTAGTGGTAGGACACACCAACATTGTTTACTGTTGAGGACAAAAACAAAACAATTATTCTACAGTGTTTTTACAAAAAATAGTGCTTGAGTAACAAAACTAGCTCCGGTTTCTACCACTAGGTGGCAGCAAATGCTAACAAGATAGAAACAGGCATTTCACTCCACACTGGACGCAGCCACACCTTACAACCAGTAGAGCACAATTGGCATCATTAAAAAGAGGACAAAGAGTTCCTTCAGCGTTCAACTAGAAAGTACAATGTGAACTCTGGAGTCGAAACGTCTGAAATGGCACCAGCAGCTGACATTTCGATACAACTTTAAACAGTTACCATGAGTCGTGATGTCGGTGTCACAATAAATGTTTTCTGAAAAGTCTCTCAGGCTTTTAGAAGGAACACATGCCCCAAAAATGTTTTACTGTCCGGCACAAAAGAGTATTCATCCTTTTTGTTCTGGCATTATCGTATCTTTCACAACAACGCCACAGTGATTCAACCACACCTCAAACCGCAGTCAACAAGGAGCACATTCCCAACATTACCTGACAGAAAAACCACAAAGAAGTCAATTCAAGTATCTGAATTAAAGGAGTGTAAAAATGTATATAAATACTCAGCTGTTCAGAGAGAACCAGGATATGTCACCACCTTACATTTCAACAATATGTTGTTAGGTGTTGTACGGTTGTACAAATCTGTCACAGAAGGGAAGTTTGCCAACAGCGAAACAAAAGGCCAAACTATGCAAGGTTTTGTATAGCACACCACCTTTCAGCCTCATGAATTATGTCCAATTATTAATGCTGCTGACCTCCCGCTGCAAACCTACCAAGAACTCCAACTTCTAGACCAGTCAGCCCCTCCTCGATCTTGTTGTAGATGTCCGCCTTGCCAAAGTCAACTGCAATGGTCCTGGTCTCCACTTTGTACTGGTCCTCTGGGAAGGGAGAAACAGGTGTCCCATTAACTTTAAAAAGGTTACAATGGTATTCAGGCAGGGCAATGAAGAAAGTCTTTTAGAAATGTTGTGAAAACAAACATGCATCCTTCTGAGCTTTAAGATTATTCATCTTGCCTTCACACCACACACTCACTATCATGAGTCACAAATCAGCCAGCATTACATGGCCCAACAACAGAGCAATCCCCAGTTTCAAAACCCTGGATCTATTCAAATGAATAGAGGATGAATATAGTCACCGTCAGACCAGAACTGAAGAGGGCACTGCGTACCAACAAACCAGCCGAGCGAGCTTTCTCTATCCGTTTGACGCGCCTGCTGCAATTAGAATTTATTGTCCAAAGACTCGTTTAGCTGATAGGTGGCGGAGGGAGTTATAAGAGGAAAATTCCTGGGATGTGCCTCGGCAAAGATCAGTAGTGTGACAGTGTATTTTTTTAAAGTTGAGACAAGATTAAAAGAGGGGAACCTGAGAGGGATAAGAGTTAAAAAAAATAAATAAAAAATAGGGGGTGAAAAGGGTTGGGAGCCTTTCTGAAATCTATATCCAGTTTATTTTTAGACATCACGATCACTTTGAGTCCATGTCAAAGAAAATGATAAAAGCAGCTTCGGACACAGTGGCAAAAAAGCAGAACTATTAAGGCTGAGGTTGCCAAATTGGAGGAGTCTAGGGTTGCCAGGTAGGTGTGATCAAAAGTCAAATGAGATGCTTACATAAGAGATTACAATGACATTGAAATTATAGGTGGGGCAGGGTGGGCTGCCCGGCTACATGCTAAGGAGGGCGGTTTTGTCAGAATAATCGTGAGGGAGGAGTGCCAGAGTTTGGCATCCCGTGACTACCCATCAGCCCCCTCTGTGGACTTTAAGCACGACAGGGGAAATTACGCTGTGGGAGACGCCAGAGACAGATGGAAAAAGAGCGAGTCAGGGAGAGGGCACTTTTTGTTCAAATCTGGAGATGGGCCAGAGAGGAGGGGGGGGAAAAGTTTTTTCCTTCATAAGGATGCTCATTTTCCAACTGTGTAGACGTGAATGAAGAAAGCTTGTTTCCAACGAATACCTCGGATGAACAGGTGGTTCTTAAAAATCAGGCAAGATATCCAACATGTTTGATGAAGTAAAACACAGGCTGCTATGTTGGCTGCATTTTTCCAATTCACCAGCTCTCAAAAAAGAACCAAAAAGGCACGACTTGGCAGATGCTAAAGAGTGTGAAAAATGGTATTTAGAAGATAAATATGAAAAGTGCAACTACTCACAAAATGAGATTGTGTAAAACAAACTGTTTTTTTGAAAAAGGAAGCAAATGCCTTTGTGGCAACACTTTCACAGAGTGAAACACCTAAAATAAACTTGTGCTTTTCTCTCTCTTTTTGACTCTTTTCTAACTCCTGCTGCAGAAGGTATCGGGCCCTCTTTTCTGGGCCTAGGAAACCCTGTAGTTGACGGGGCCACCGCCTGCCCATACACATCCTAATAAGCCCACTCACTCTTAACCTCGAACAGGTTTCTATGATGTTGTGAAGACACACGCGCACAAACATTTATACACACTTACCAAGCGACCTGGCCACGTCCTCCAGCTTGTCCTGAGAGCGACTGATCAACATCACGGCAAATCCTCGACGAGCCAGCTAGAAAAGAAGTAAACAGTTACTAACGAATGCACAAGTTTGACCATCATCTATACATCGTCTATTATATTGAGGACAATGTCACACATAGTGCTGGCAGGTGCAGATGGCAGCGAGAGGAGACAGAAAAAGATCTGATTTCTGGGCGCTGAAGTTCAAGATTTTCGGTCTCTTTTTCATACAATATATTAACTCCTTGCTCTCTGCATCATTGCACTATTACCTCCATTTCATTGTGTTTTACGTTTACATATATACTTTTGTATATATATTTATACGTGTACATATTTGTTAAATGTTTATGCTTACCTTTGTTCTACTTTGTTTTCTGTCTATTTCTGTGTATGCACGTTGACGGCAACGGGAAAAACATTTTTTCCTCAACTTATCTCCCATTCTGACCAACACTTTGGACGCACAAAGATTCAAATCAGCACGAGTTTCTCCAGCCAGGTTGATCTTTGTGGGCATGTTGCTGTGTACAGTGAGCGAATCCGCTTGTGTGACGCAGTTTAGGGCACAGAAGTGGATTTATTACGCCAAAGCAGAATTCAAGTGGCGCGTTTCTGCATGAAACACGACTACAAAATACACTGGGTAAAATGTTGGCCTACCGTTAGCTCCACTGTAGCACCAACAGCAACAGTATGAGTCAAAGGGCCCTACATGACTATATTGTCCAGCTAGCACACCCACACCAGTTTGGGCCAAACACTTGGCAGGGTAGCCCCTATTCAACGCGTGCTCGTTACATCTGTATGAGCTCTTGTTGACGAGCCTGTGTTGAAGTGTGTGTGCGGACTCTCTTCCCCGTTAATAGGTCCGTAAGAGCTCTCCCCTACTGTGGCCTATGAGTGAATACGGTGTGTGTGTGTGTATGCATGAGTCACAGCTTCGCCGTGGAAGAAATGAAATAAATAAGGGTCCAGGAGCCTCACCTCCTCCGCATAGGATTTCCCGATTCCATCCGTGGCTCCCGTCACAACTGGAGAGACAGAAAAGAAAAAAGGTGGTGAGTATAGGTTCTCTTCATGACACTCTCACTATGTAGCCGGGGCAGAAGTCGAATCAACTTCTGTTCAACGAATGAGGGAGTAGGTGCTCTTAAAAAAAGTCCACTTTGTATTTTAAATCTCTGCTCTCTTAACCCTGTCAAACGGCACATTACATCAACGGCAGCAGTGTCTCACTGGCAAGTCACGCTGGAGCGGCGCATCACTCTGGCACATCTACTATCCATCTTCACCATCTCTTATCATCTTTACATCTTACAAAAGTCGTACATATAAAAAAAACCGCACAAACGTGATTCTCTTTGTTCACAGGCTTGCAACACGCCTTCACATCAGGTTTGACTGCTTCCAGGTGTCACCATAACGTCTCAGGGCCCGAACATGGAGTTCGGGCCCTCGAGTGGACTCGAGTGCGGCGCAAAATCCATTGGCGGACACACCTCGCAGCACTATTCACCTACGATTAAGGAAAGCCTCTCTCGAAGCTCTACAATCGCAGCATTGTTTTGTTTTCGATGAGGGAGTCCATTCTTTAAAATGGTGCACACAAAAGGGAAGTCGTTTTTGCGGCAGATTTTTTTGCAAATACAACGCAAGATAATATGGATAGGAGTCAAATCACACAGATTGAGCTACAAAGACAACAGAGGGAACGGAGATTGTACAGAGGCGGAGATAAGATGGTATAGATTGAAGCAGAACAAAGATAAAAGACAGTATAGGATTCACAAAGCCCTCAACACCCACTGATACCTCACTGGGAGCAGCTCCTGCAATGCAAAAACAATATGATGTTATCTGACTGGCAAGGTTAAAATCAAGCCAAAGTGCAGTTTAGACAAAAGGTGGAGCGAGGGAGGGACGCAGAATGGTGGAAAAGACGGAGAGGACCAGAACAGTTTGGCAAAAGAGGAAAGATTTCATAGGAGGACAGTAAAGTGGCCAAATCGTAGGGGGACGGAGACCGAGAGAGGGAGCTGATGTTCTTCCTCTGCTCAGAGTTCTCCTCACCTTGTCAAGCAAGCGGGGCTATTTTTAAACATTCACTGCCCATCAACCCCAAGCTCCTTCTTGACTGACGGAGGATGGATGGAAGGAGAGAGGGAGTGTGTGTGTGTGTGTGTGTGTGTGTGGGGGGGGGGGGG